GGTCTTTGGGCTGTGCTGGCAGCACCAGTGATTTGAGCGGCCGTTTGAGCCCTGCAATAAATGCGTGGAGGGCGTCGTCCCTAACCTCCTTATTCAGGATGGTTGCCGTGTCCGCATTACGGGACATGACTATTTTGTTCGTGACGAGCGTGAGTTTCCTCTCGACTTCGTCATAGTATGCCATAAGGTCGGCGTCACCTTGTCGAACCATTTCCAGATTCTGACGTAGTACGCGTAGGGACGTTTTGTCCGCGTATGTGCAATCTAGCCTGGCCAGAATTGCATCAAAATTTAACACGGTATTGTGGGACGTGAGTAGCGCTCGCGCGGTACCGCAAATTTTGTTTTTCAAAATGGCCACAGCCTCGTAGTGTGCCTGGCTACCTACATAAATTTTAAAGACTTCGTATGCATCTACGGCAGATTGCCTCCACGACACATATTCCTCATGGTTTCCGCTAAAGGTCGGCACCGATTTCACAATGTCTAACTTAACTTCGCACTTTATGTTAGGGTCGATGGTCACTCTTTTAAAGGTTTCTACTTGAGGGGTTTCTATAGTTAGGGCATTCACTTGATTCCTCATTCTTTGGATTTCACTGCTGAAATCCTGTGTTAAACGCCGTTCTTGTTCGGCGAGGGCGTTGGCGATCGCGCCGTCTACCAATGCTTTTATCATTCCTGCATCCATTTCTGACCGATTTTGTTTCGGCTGTGGGGGGCGATACCCTAGGTCTAAGCTTTCGTCACTATCGGACTGTACTTTTTGTTCCCTATAACTCCAATTCATGGGCAATTACTGAGAAAAAATCAAACCACACAGCAAGATATCAAATGAACAAACTCGGGCGATCATTTATTTAACCACACAGATGCACTCATTCGGTTTCAAAACAAAAACTTATTGTATTGCGTGACGTTCACACTTGCACTGTCAGATATTTAAATTTATTATGTTTTTTTTCAAGCAGCGTTTTCACGCAGCAGCTTGAGTGGTTTTAATTAATCTTTTTAATTTTTTATTTTTCTTTCTCTCTTTTACTTTTTTCAAAATCTATTATCTTTTGCGAACAGTCACTTACATGGTTTTATCTTTTGGGGACGTGGATTCTCTTAGGATATTTCCAATCCCGTTGGGCGCCAATTATCTTTAATCTATGTTAGTCCTAGCTGCGGTCCGGTGCGTAGGCTCCGGCGGCAGCGATCGGCTTCCGGTGGCCCGCTCTGGTAGCGGGGGGGAGGTGGCTTGAATTGGTGTTGGTCCGAGCTGCGGCTCCGGCGGCAGCGATCGGATTCCCGTGTCCCGCTCTTGTAGCGGGGGGGCGGTGGTTGCCGTTTGGCAACTGGGTCTTCTTATGGAGATTACGTTGAGAGGGTGACTGCCCTCTATTTCGCTGGCCCTTAAGGCTCAACGATATAATCAAGTTAATAAATGTTTTACGACATGTGTCGGAGTAGAAGTGAACGAACCGTTCGTTTATTTGTAAAATCTTAAACTAAACTTAACTCCCAGATCCCCCGCTCGCGAACCATTCATGCAAGAATGGAATTCGCTGACCACAGCACATCCGCTAGAATCAGGCGACGGCCGTTGGCCAATGGAGTGAGGGACGGCCCACAACAGCGTCAGTGCTGTGTCAGCTTTCTGAACTGAGCGCTGCAAGATGTTATGTGTGGGGTGGCGCAAGATGATGAAGTTAAGGGGGTGCGATAACTTGTAATATGTGTTAACTTATATGCGGTGGAACCAGAGCAGCCCGCATAAACATCCGCATATGACTAGAGAGTTCCGTTACGGGGTCTGGTCTAATATTACACCTGGTGCACCTCCTAATGGGGGGCCGGGGCACACACACACACACACACACACACACACACACACAGAAAATTCAATTTGTTCGCGTCGAAAATGGGAGAAGAGTGGCTGCCAGGCTAGAGGAACCTCCAACCAGCAGCCAAAAGCCTGGCCAGCGGATATCCGCTGAGCTGGGAACTGGGGGCCAGCGGCCAGAGCCTCATGTAATATGCAACAGCCTTCATTCCGCTTCCCAGTCGTTGGACTCGGATCCGGGTCGCGCACAATTGAATTTTTGGGCAATTTTCGGGCATACTCAGCGCCAATTCAAATTTTTGTGCCGAGTATTCGGCTGGCCCATGGAGTTGGAAAACTCTAAAATTAGATTAGATAACTCGTAACGAATTTTAAATGCAATTTGTGGAATTTTTAGTGGTCCATTAGGCAGCGGCAGGATAATTGGTGCATGCAAATGGCAAATTTATTTATCTTTATTTTATAATCGTTATTTTTAGCATATGTTTTTTTTATTCCATGGAATTTTTGTTAGCACGGTAATTGCTTCTGCCTATCAATAACCTCTTAGCATTACTCGATCATTTATCGATTGCACGATAGCTGCTATTGCATATTAACTAATACTGTCATCTCTCTTTCTCTCTGTAGCTAAATCACTTAATGGGCACCCACCCACATATCTATCTCTCCCTCTCAGCTGTACACAGTCTATCGATGGCACGATCTGCATACTGTCTCATCTCTAACGCACTCACTTACTCTCTCTGTCTCTCTCTCTTTACGTAGTTGTAGAATTTCTAACGGCACCTACTAACTAGTATCGTATCTGTCTGTCGATTTGTCCTACTGCTAACTCTCTCTCCTTCAAAACTCATGTTGTACATTTGTTTTCTTCTACTTCTTTTCTTTTTTTTATAATATAGCTTTCAAGCTAAAAGTAGTAAAAGAAAGAGCAACAAAATCAAAATAACATAACTGTAAATTGGTACAAAATACTCGCAAAACAAACAAAAAGGCGTGTTGTGTTGCCGCAACAACAAACAAAACTACAAGCAAAAACTACAAGCAAAAACTACAACAAAAATAGTAAAAGAAAAAGATAGAAACAACAAACAACAACAACAAACATCTACTACAAGAACAAACGCCGCCAAGTAGATACAAAAATCATAGAAATTTCTTTTGTCGAGGCACCCGCGCAAAGTTCCATTTTGCATAGTAGACTTTTAGGCGCCGCACACTTTTAGACACGAAACAGACAGACAACCAAACCAACCATCCATCCGACAAACTCAGCAAACATTCCAAGCAAAAACCAAAAGCAAACCACCATCGCCACCAAAGCCACAGCCACAGGCACCATCGCCACCACCACGAACCACAATATGAGCCTCAATAAGATCAAGAAGCAAAACTCGAGCGACTTATGACTGATGCGCTCAAAGGGCCATGGCCATGCCACCGTCAATCTGGGCGCTGGCATTGGCAGCGGCAGTCGGTACAAGGTTACGTGTGTACCAGAAGTGAGCATCACATCGCCCACCAGTGGTGGCCTCCTCCATGAGGCACCGTTGCCGCTGCCGAGTCCCATCTCGATCGCACAACAGCCACAGCCACAACAACAACAACAACAGGCGGCACAGAGCAATGCGAAACACTTTGCGCTGCTACAACGCAGTCGCTCACAGCCACAGGCACAGTCGTCGTCGTCTAACAGCATTTTCTCCACGCCTGCAGGCAGCATAGGCCCTGCTGTTGTGGGCAGCGCCACTCTGGTCGAGGAGGAGGATTTCAGCTTGGCAGCGGCTAGTGGCAGCAGTGTTGCCGCGAAGAACGTGCTCCAGCGACAGCTGGCCACCACCACCATCGTTCCCCAGCAGCAGCAGCAGGAGGATCTGGATTTGGATTTGGACAGCGAACGAGAACGGGAACCGCTACAGAAGTTGCCGCTGACTTTGGAGGCGTCGTGTGAGCCACCCAACGAGCTAACACCTTTAGTGGAGGAGGAGCCGCCCAGCGCCAGTGCCGCCGCTGCCACAGCAGTAGCATCCACGAGCAATCGCTATAGCCGCAACGCAAAGACCACACGTTCCTGGCCGGTCATCTATCGCAATCCGCATCACTGCGACTACGAGGCTTTGTACATCCAGCAGCAGCAGCATCCCCAGGGATCGCAGAGCTTCAAGCAGAACTGCTACTCGAATCAGTTCAAGCAGTCGATCGTCTACTCGAGCAGCAATGAGGAGGATCTGCCCGGCGGCGAGCAGCAGTTAACGGAGCCGAGGCAAACCACCTGCTACTATTTTGCACCCAGTCGCCACAACAGCATTTATGAGCATCCCTCGTCCGTGGTCGGTGGCTCCTTGCAGTTCGACGCAGGTAATTCGGGCGCCAACGCAGCCACATCCGCCGTTGCGGCGGCGGCCGTCGAGAGTCTGAGGCGCAGCAACAGCATCCTGTTGAGGCAGAACAGCTGCGCCAAGGTAATCCAACGTCGCGGTAGCGGCGGCAGCAGTTCCCCCACATCCCTGGCCTCACACATGGACGGCCTGGGCATGGGCAGTGCGGCGGGTGGCAGTGCCTGCTGCTCCAGCTGCTGCATGGGTCCGCCGCCGGTGCTGTTTCTGTTTGTTACCCTCCTGATGACCACCAGTGCCACGGCCATGCTGTGTGCCGCCATCATGACGGATCACTGGGAGCATGTCACATGGGATCGGAATAGTCTGGATCGTTATACGAATCGTTCGGGTATGCATCTGGAGTGGCTGCTAGAGGATCAGGTGGCCATGCTCAAGCCGGATAAGAGATGTAGGTATCAATCCTATCTACATATATATCGTAATCCTAACAATTTTTTGGATATCCCTCCAGCCGATCATCGCTTTCGTCGCGACTCTGTATTCCTGGTGCCGATGCATGGTGGCATCTGGACTCTGTGCATCGATCTGCCCATTCAGCAGCTGCAGGAGCTGCGACGCAATCCGAAATTCCCACGTGGAGCCCCGCCATGTGTCAACTATCTGGCTGGCTCCATGGAGAATGCACGCGGGGAGGAGCAGCGCAACGATTGGCAGCACAGTGAGTCACAAGCCGTCACTCTGCAGCCGCATCTGAGTACGTATCTGGTGGTGGGTGATCCATCCTGAATCCATATCCAATCTCTCTCTCTCTATTCCTCTCCGTTTCCTTTTTGTTTAATACAAAACATTCGTTTATTTTTACGCACTTCTTACGCACTAAATTGTGATTGTAACCTTACAGAGACTTATAGAGAATTTTGGTAGAAAAAACAGCAAACAAAAAGCATAAATAGGAGCATAATAGGGGCGGGGCGGGGGCCGGGGCAGGGCAGCATAGATCCTGCATGGGGAGGACAGTGTTTGTGTTTTATAAAATGCAAGTGTGTGATAAAAGGTGTTTTTCCTTCATGCTTCGTGGAGTTGTGGGGTTTTAAGTAGCTGATGTATGGGGGTGGGGGGTGATTGAGTGTGTGCCACTGGAATGTGCAGCTGCTTTTCCTACAAGGCGGGACGCTTGGCTGGGGAGCACAGGGCCTCGGCCTCAGAGCCAGGCTCCTCGGGCTTCTTGCGCTTAATCAAATGCGTTATATCGGTGGGCTTGGCGGTGGAACTGCTGCTAATGGTCGACGAGGACGAGCTGGCAGCAACAGCAGCACCAGTAGCGCCAGAAGTAGCAGCAGCAGCACTGGACGACGATGATGGAGAGCTGGCTGCCGCTCCATTGGTGGATGAAGAGGCAGCAGCATCGTTGCTGCTACTGCCACTGCCCATTGGCTTGATGTAGCTATCCAAGGCAGCGCGCACCTCGGCGATGGTCTGCAAATTGGTTTTAAATTAATAATTATACGGTGGAAATATGTAATGAAGTTTCCCTTACCTGAGCCTGCATCTCTTCAATTTCCTGTATCTTGGCCAGAATCTCCTGCTTGGTCTCCTCCAAATCCAACATATTGTTTTTCTCGCGCTCGCTGAGCGGCTCCTCTTTGCCCTTGATCTCTGTTATTTCCTCCTCAATCAAGGCACTGGATAGACGCAGCGAGGCGGCGCCCTCCTTGTTCTGCTGTGCCATCAAGAATGTCAGCCCAATCTTGTAGTGCAGCTCGGCGAGTGCGCGACGATTCTTGGTTGGAAGATCGCTTAGAATTAAGAGCGCTTTCTCTGGAAAATGCAATGGAAATTCCACAGTTAGTAAACGAAGCATCTTTGGCTCAAGGATTGCTCACCGTAATCCTCACGTGCCGCCTCAAGTATACCATTCTCAAATTCAATGTTTGCCAATTCCGTTTGAACCTCTGCCAAATACGGGAGACCATTGAGGCCCTGGCGCAAAAAGATTTTGGCAGCTGCCTCTAAGATCTCCCAGGCCAGCTGCAGGCTGCCACTGACACCCTCTTCGGTCTCCTCCTCATCCTCTCCGCCAGCTACAGCTGCAGCTCCATTGCTGGGACTGATTGCAGCCTCACCATTCGAGGTGCTGGGACGCTCGTCATCGTTGACCGAGGCACCGCCATTGCTGCTGCTAACTTCTTCGACGCCAGTGGATGACTTCTTGGCATTCTTCTCATCTGATGGAGCATCCACAGTGGAATCGGCTTCATCGGAGGCCTCCTTGATGCTGTCCAACGCTTTGCCATTTGTGCTGCTGGCGCCATTGGCTTCCTTCTTGGATGGGGCAGCTTCCTTCTTCGCTTCGCCAGCTTCCTTGGCCTCTCCGGCCCCCTTCTTGGCCTCCCCAGCTTCTTTCTTGGACTCTGCAGCTTCATCTGCATCGTCCCCAGCTTCATCATCATCGTCCATATCCTCCTCATCGTCATCGGCTGCCTCATCGGGCACATCAATCACTTTGTTCTCATCCAGAGCCATGGCAATCAACGCCTTGGCATATCTACAGGGTAGGGACAAAATTTACAAGATTAATAAAGTTACAGCCGTTCTCCATCATCTGTCGTCCACTCACAGCAGCAGGGGCTGGCCCAATTCATCGGCCAGCTCTCCGTACACCTCCTCGTACAGCTGGCACACCTGGCTCAATTCATCGGCGGCCTCATCGTAGCTCTTGACCAGAAAATTACGCGATCCCTGACTAAAGAGCTCCTTGCCCTTGAGTATCTTTTCGGCGCGCTCCTGTTCTACTTTGCCGTTTCCCTCGGAGGCACCATCTGTGGCCACGGGCACAGCATTGTCGGGTGTGGTGTCCGCATCGACGGCGGCTACTTTCTTGATTGTTGTCGGTGATGTGGTGGCATCGGCAGCGGCCGTTGTGACAATTGCTTCAGCTTCAGCAGACATTATTTTTCTATATTGAATGCAGCAAAGAGTAGATAGATCTGGAATAGAGATAAGAGATACTGTGAGGGTTAGCTGGCTTTGTATTCTTTTGATTTATCCCACGAATATTGTCCTGATTTTGTAGTCCCTTCCTTTCGTTTCCTTAAACCCTAAACAACATTTGTAGGTTGTGTGTGCCCTAGACGTCACTTTCGATGTATGTAGAAGACCACCAGTAAATGTTTTTCCATTATATTTAAACATACAATTTTTAAATGGCATTCTCACTCTACTCCCACGCTTCCGCTTAAGCTTGCTTTTCTTGTACCATTCCACCATTTATTCTGGCTTAAAATGTTGGCTCCAAGCTGTCGCACATTTCACAAGTCATTACCACAAATCCCATTTCCCATAGAGCAGAGCAGAGAGAACAGATAAAAATGAAAACCAAAGACAGCTACAAATGCCCAGTGGTGGAGGAGGAGGAGGAGCATAACCGACAGTGTCCTGCGGCCTTGTAGCAGCACCATCTACTATATAAAGTAATTACCACAAAAGCTAACAGAGTTTGGCTCCGGTTTCCTATATTGTCAATATAGTCCATCCTCTGGCTCCGGCTCTCTATCTGGCGCTCTCCCTGCAGATGAAACATGTCCGTGTCGATAGTTGCATGCTTTGGGGCAGCAAACGGAGAGCCAGAGGTACAGCAAGTGGCAGAGCAGCAATAAGAGGGGCACTCGGTGGGTGGTGAACCAAATGGCAGTGCAGCAACTACCCTTGCGGGTAGAGGATTAGCAATTGGTTGGGGAAATATAGGTCACCAAGTGGTTTGGTTCATCTACCTTTTTGCGTCCCAACCCCCTACCCATTCTTGCGTTCTAAAAATCGCATTTGTCACTTTTCCCAGCCTTTATATGGTTACGTGGGAACTCAGTCACCACCACACATACATATGAGATTTAATTGCTGGTAGTGTCGGAAAACGAGTCGTCTATTGGGTAATTGGTTTTACAGGTGTTTGTGAAAGTGTGTGTGTGTGCCCCGCCTGTGCCCCCCGTGATGAGCGGAAATGGAAGAGGTATATTTTATTTATGGCCACAAACGAATTTAAGGGCTTTAGAAAATGATTTTAAACCACAAGAGGGAAACGATTTAGATATGAAAAAGAGTTGATGTGCACTTCTATGATTCCAGGCGTTCTCGTACGCTGCTCTGCTCTTTTAATTTCAGGTTTAGTAACAGTTAAGTTTAAAGCAGTACAACCCGTTTTGCTAATTTGATGAATTTCCCTGAACTTTCCAATCAATTGGATGAGGAAACAATTTTAGAGACACCAATCATCATCGCAGATCGCTGCTTTTGCTTTTGCCAATCCACCTTTTACTCATATATAATGTATAATCAATATAATCCACAGATTTAAGCAGTTGCTTAAAAAATCAAATCCCAGAAAATCCCAGAATTAATCTAATTGAAATCATCATCTTTTAGGAATGCAAAATCTCTCCATATCCTGCTCATTGGTGTGCCTCATTATTTTGGGCAGCGCCGCTTTGGTTGGAGCCTTTGGCGTCTGCCAGCGTCAGATAAGTGCAATCCTCATCACAGGTGTGATGTATCTCCTGGCAGGTGAGTTCTTGGAGATGCGCCTTATCCACTCAAACGTTGATAAATCTGATATCTGATTTTCAGCTCTCTTTGCACTCTTTACGCTGATGATCATCCACTTTAAGCGACAGCAGGGACGCCCCATGCTGGACAGCGACTATGATGGCACTGTGGATGGCATTGTGGCACGTCCCGGCGGAGTGGCTATCATGGCCAAGCCATTGCTAGGCGCACGCATATTCCTAACGTCCTGGAGCCTGGACTTGGGCTGGGGCGGCGTTGTACTGTGCGCCATCACCTCGGTACTGTGGATTTTGCTGTCAAAGATCATGCGGTACAACCCATTTTCGGCTTTAATGATTTAGCTAAACGCCCTGCCGCTCGGCGGCTATGGAGATGCCGGCAGCAGTTACGGCAGCTACGGCAGTACCAATAGCACCAGCAGCGGTGGTAGCTCCAGTTTCCTGCTGGCAGCTGTCACCTCGTCGCAGCGGCAAAAGGAGCATCGTGGGGACAAGGGTAAATACATTCTGTAGAATGTATTGTCTATGTCCTGTCCCCCCTGGCTTCAAACTATCTTATCTATCTTTGTTTCCGTCTTTTGGTGTAATTTATACTCAAACTTATTTGGAATCGTATTTCGATGAGTGCTCTTAATCCTTAATCTTATATTAATGTACCAAAAAAAAAAACACAAAAACTCAATTGCCTTGTTCTTATATACAACTTAAACTATAAATTACTCTTGTGGAACATTATTGTACTTTAACCAAAATGTAAATTCAATTTACACTCTCTCTCTTTACAAGCAAAACCCCTACCCCTTTTTTTGTATTCTACACGATTCTACACGACACCAGAACTAATACTACAACTAATTCTAATCTATAACTAACTTTAAATGCATATGTAAAATGTGAGACATTTATTTACACGACAACAACAACTAAATACAGAGGCTATTGCTTTAAAGTGCTTTCTAGTCAAAAGTTTCGCTTGCAATAGCGTTAATCAAACCGAAAGTAGAGAATATCTGTTCTGTGTGTGGCACTTGGAAAACTGCAATAATTTAGCAATAATCTTATGGAGAAACAATCCATGCGGAAGAGAGAAGCAACTAGTGCCGAACAAAGCTTGTAACTAAACTGCTTCTACATTACCCCCGCCTTTCCATCAGTTGGCAGGATTTCAAGAAAGTGTCACAACAAACAGAAGTCACGTCACACGAATTGTATAACTTTACGGCTACTTAGAGAGCTCCTACTGGAGTACGTACAGTTGAACACAAAAAGTAGGGACGCTTTTAAGCAACAAATGTATTGAGAACATCTAGTGCTTTAGAACAAATGGTTTACAAAACATATTGTATAAAAACAAAGCATCAAAAACCAAAACAAAAGCAGCTACAAGTATAAACATGGACAACAAACAACAAGTGTATTTTTATGCAAACGCTTTGCCTTAAAAAAAAATAAAATAAAAAAGAATATAAAAAGAAAATTATTTAAATACAAGAAAAATACTTTCTTTTAAAAAGTTTACAGGAAATGGTGTGTTTTTTTTGGAAGGGTTTTCCTAGAGAATGACTATGTTCCATAAATAGCAGATCGACAGATCATTTATGACATTTTATGTGGAATGTATTCACATTTTTGGTAAAAATTTTATTGCAAATTTCAGTTGTCAGGCGGCAGGTTCATTAACATTTGCAAAGAGCTGCTGTGGAAACAAATTGAACAAACATGCAAATGAACTCTCGCGAAAAATAAAAAAATAAATGTAAGAAATACCAGCAGGAGGGGTTGGTTCTGCAACCGAATTTTTGTATACCCTTAATATGATATAGGGATCTTAAGACCTTTTGAGGGCATATTTCTGAGAAAATACGTATAAAGAAGATGCTTCTTTTTTCAACACTGTGAACTGCCAGGAAGGGTATCAAAAACACGACACGCGAGATCAATAGCTAACTCGTGTGCAAATGCAGCTGCGAAGTCAGAGGAACAGGGAATCCAAAGCCAGGGGCGGCAAATTGAAAACAATGCGAAAAAAAAGCAAATGGAAAGAAAAGGAAAAACGACATGTGTGTGTTTTGTTTGCGCGCGCTCTCAAAACAATTACAAAATTCACACACAATTACAAAAAACAGCAACAATTTGAGATTACAAAACAACGCAAAAAAGTTCATTCACCTGTGTGTGCGCTGTGCCCGTGTGTGTGGCGTTTATGCGTTCGCTCGCGATCGCGATCAGTGATGCCCGCTACACTGATCGTGATGTGGCGTCTCAGAAACAGCACCAAAATTATCCAAAAGACAGACCCCCAAAATGATATTTTTATTTAAAATTACTTCCTAGTTGATTGAAAAATATAAAAACCCAACATCGCATAAACGTAAACCACTATCTGCACAACTGCCAGTATGTGTGTGTGTAATTGCCCGCCATTCGCCCGCGCCAACAAACGCACTAATACCGGCAAAGAAAGCAACGCAATTGCCCATTAAATTAAAGCAAATGCCGACAACACGTTTCACATATTTATAGCGAAACAGAAATTGCGACAATTAATTAATGTTTAGCACATACAACATATTACCAACAACAACAAAAGCCAAAGCCAGGCCAAAGCGAAATTCGCAAATTCGCGTGTCGCTGTGCCAGTATGTGTGTGCGAGTCAATGCGTGTGTGCATCGGCATTTAGCAACCGAATTAGGGGGAAAAACTTACCAATTCTTGGATTATTTCCACTTTATTTACGCGGAACGTATTCACTCAATTGATGGCCTTTGAAATTGTACACAGAAAACACTTTTAAAGTACGAAAAATACGAAAAAATTGCAACAAAATTGCGGATCGAGCACAGTGTGACCGCCGATGTATCGACAAAATATACCGTCTGACCCTCAAAAATATACCCAAATATACCTTCTCATTTCCATAATATACCGCAAATATATCAATTTTGATAAACGATTTAATCAGATAGATTAATCAATTTTCTACAATCTGGCTTATTTTTAGGACTTTCATTTATTGGGTTCTATATAAAATAAGGGTAAACAAAGAGGTTCAACAAAAATGTCCCTTTTTTACATGTTAACTACACACGAACTATATACCAGTCAATAGACTCATTTTTCGCGGCAGAATTAGCTCTCGATAGTTGGAACGGAGTGCCAACTTATTTTACATATCGATAAGCAGAGCCTGGCAACCCTATGACCGAACAACATGAGTGACGAGCAACAATGAGTCTGAAGCAGCATGAGTCTTCATTCCGTAAGATACATTTGATTTGTATGGGAAAAATTTCAGCAACATGGGGAAATGAAGTAGCAGCATTGTTGTGCAACTTTGGCACGGAATAAGCAACAATCTGCATACCTTGGGAAAATGGGTATTATGGACTTGAGAAATTCTTTGTAATTTCAGGCACCAATTAATGCAGAAACTACTCAGTTTTTGTTCTAAAGATATTAACAAAGTTGTGTAGCTCACGACTACTAATAATAGGTATCAGAACCGGGATAAATGTATTTATAACTCACAAACATGTGCATTAATATGTAAAAAACATGTCAATCTAGGATAAAATCATAAATAATGTTTCAATGGAGCTTGGAACAAAACATTTAACATCAATTAAAAGAAATAAGGTATAAAAAAGTAAATACGCATAAAATAAACTTGGTTGACCAGCAACACTGACGTCACATTTAGTCAACATTTACGTTTCATGCTTTGGCCGTTTTTGTTTGAACCCTAATATGTAAGCAATCCAATGAAAAAGAGTTCTAAAAACTAACCAATCCTGAACAAAATTGATGTATCTATCGGATAAAATTATTTGTTTACGGCTGAGAGGGCCAACTATCTAGTAATATTAAACTGAATATCAAAATTGACGAATTTCATATCACAAAATATCACGGTATGGCAGCCCGCAGCAACTACGAATTGCACGAGTCTGGCAGCGCCACAAAACGACGACAAATTCGTTTTATGCTGTTTTTGTTTGAACCGTAAAATGTAAATAATCCAATAAAAAGGACTTCTGAAAACTTGCCAATCTCTTATAAAATGTATGTATCTATCGGATAAAATTATTTGTTTAGGGCTGAGATGGCCAACTACCTTGTAATATTAAACGGAATATTAAAATTGATGAATATGATTTTCCTCGGTATGTTTAAGGTATATAATGAAAATGACGTTTCTGAGGTTCCAGTCACACTCGAAAAAACAAATCAAGTGAAATATTTATTTTTCCAAATATTAAGACACATTTCAAATTGACCGCCAAACTCAATTTAGCGCACCAAAAATACTGACATTTTTCGCTCTCAATTCGTGGAGAGTTTGCAAAAGTCGCTCTCAATTCGTGGAGAGTTTGCAAAATTTGCTCTCAATTCGTGGAGAGTGCTCTCTTTTCAGTGGAGAATAGAGTGTTTTTGTGGAGACTTTCCCCTCATTTTCGTGGTGTGGCAGCATGCTGCTGAAATTTTTCCCATACAAAATCAAATGTATCTTACGGGAACGCGTATGGAATAAAGATTCATTGTTGCGTCATTCCATACGCGTTCCCGTATGATACATTTGATTTGTATGGGAAAATTTTCAGCAACATGGGGAAATGAATTAGCAGCATTGCTGTGCAACTTTGGCACGGAATAAGCAACAATCTGCATACCTTGGGAAAATGGATATTATGGACTTGAGGTATTGTTTGTAATTTCAGGCTCCAATTAATGCAGAAACTACTTAGTCTCGGTTTTGAAAGATGTTAACGAAATTTTGCAGCTCACGGGTTCTAATAATAGCTATCAGAACCAGGATAAATGTATATACAACACACAAACATGTGCATTAATATGTAAAAAACATGTCAATCTAGGATAAAATCATTATTAATGTATCAATGGAGCTTGGAACAAAACAGTTATCATCAATTAAAAAAAATAAGGTATAAAAAAGTACATACGCATAAAATAAACTTGGTTGACCAGCAACACTGACGTCACATTTAGTCAACATTTACGTTTCATGCTTTGGCCGCTTTTGTTTGAACCTTAATATGAAGTATGAAGAGTTCTAAAAACTAGCCAATCCTGAACAAAATTTATTGAGAAATCGCATTAAATTATATGTTTAGGGCTGAGAGAGCTAACTATCTAGTAATATTAAACCGAATATCAAAATTGACGAATTTCATATCACAAAATATCATGGTATGGCAGCGCGCAGGAACTACGAATTGCACCAGTCTGGCAACGCCACAAAACGACGTCACATTCGTTTTATGTTGATTTTGTTTGAACCTTAATATGTAAACAATCCAATGAAAAAGAGTTCTAAAAACTAGCCAATCCTGAACAAAATTTATTGAGAAATCGCATTAAATTATATGTTTAGGGCTGAGAGAGCTAACTAGCTAGTAATATTAAACCGAATATTAAAATCGAGGAATATCAACTATTGTAGTGTCTGTCAGTATATTTTCGGTATATTTTGAAACGGATAGGGTATATTTCGGTATATTTTTGAGGGTCTCACGGTATATTTGACCGATAAATCCGCAGTCACACTCCACGGACGTCAATTTTTTTATTCCCGCCCAATTGCCGCCCGAACGGTCGACCTTGCGGACGCGCGTTGTTGAAAGAAGCGTGATATCGCGGAGCATTTTAGAAACGTTTAAAGTTTCCATTTGAATAAACGACAAGTGCAATGCATAAATTATAACTGAGAATTAAACAAAACAAAGCAGCTCTAAACACAGTTGTTACATTGAAATTCCTTTCAAAATATGCTTCGGAGCTAAAGTTTGGTAAACAACCCTTCGTTATTGTTAAATATTTATACACACCACCGCACGACCGCCGACCCCCCGCAAAACGCACATTACGTGCGGCGCCAGCAACAACAACAACAAAGGGAGAAGCAGCGGCGATAACGAAACAAGCCCAACAACAACAACTCAAATTATTGTAAGAGAATTCCTATGTGCTGTTGCTTTTTTTTCCTTCTTTTGCTATTGATTTTTGTTTCGATTTTGGCCCTCAGTTGTTTTTGCCGCCTTTTGTCGCGTTTTTGTTTTGTTTTATGCGTTTTTGTATGTTTTTGTGTGTGTCTGGTGTGCTTTATTATTTCCTTCTTAGATTGAGTCCTCAAAGAGCGTGCGAGAGGGAGATGGAGTGCGTGTGTTGATTCACCTGCTGAGGTATTTTTGATACCCTAACTAAAGCTATTTCCACTGGAGTTTTGTGTTTGCAACGCAGAGAAGAAAGTAAAATGTGTTGTTTGCACAGAAAATTCCATAAAAATGAGAATATAGTTGCACACCTTAGTTTTATATATTTCTTCATAGGTTAAACCAATTGCAATCCAATCCATATTACCGAAAGGTCCCAAAGGGTATCAAAAGCGTCGCCTTGTCTTTGTTATGTCTGCCAGCCTCTCAGCTGCTGCTGCGACGAACAACAACAACAACCGTAACACACAATAAAGACGCAGCAGCTTTCGTTATGGCAGAGCAATAACCGGTTTTTTTTTTCCTTTATCGAATTTCGAAACTGTGCTAATAACTTTTTTGCTGCTTGCTATTGTTGTGTTCGTTGTTGTTGGCGGCTTTTCGCAAACAATTAAAGAAAACTAATCGGGTGCCAAAGAGCGATAATTTCAAAAAAGAGCCGCAGTGCAAATTAATCTATTTCTCGCCCCTATTTCTGCTGGCAGACACAGGAAGTACATACGTGTATACTTTTTGCAAACAACCCAAAAACTTTGCCACTTAAAACGTCACTCCATTGCCAAGCTTTATTTTTACCGTTGCCTGCAAATGATGAAGCTTCCTCTTTATCTCTGCCTCTATTGCTTCCACCTACTCTTCTGGCACGACATAACGGCACTAAAGGCAATAGTGGGAGAGGGGAGGAAATGCAGTAGCAGGCAATTTCTTTGGACATAAACTCCTGCACACACTCTCCTCCACGGCACTGCGGCTCCAAGGATAACACGTTCGTCATGCCGCAAAATCGATTTTCAACAAAGACCGACAATACCTTGGAGAATCCATGCCTCCCCTGCACTGACCCATTCCTGGCACGTGATGTGGCGCCTGGCTCGGGAATGAAAATGGGAACTTTCAACCCGTCGTCTGTCGTCTGTCGGCTTGCGCAAAAATTGCGGTAAAAACTGACGCAGGGGGAAATCAGCCGGAAATAAACCGTAAATTAAAGGGGACACTTTTTTGGGGCGACGTTTTAGTGGGCTGACAACCACTTTGTCCTCAAGATAGCATCGAAAGATAACTCTATTGCGGGGTTGTTTTGCCTATGAAACAGGAGGATTAGTGACACAAGACATCGTGTGCTTCTGTTGTAATAGGAAATGAATTACGTTGTTTAGCTGCACAAAGTTCCCCTTAGCGAACAGAAACATTTACTTTGATTGACAGGACCAGTCAGCATTCGGTACAAGCTTCAAAAACCATTAAAATATCTAAGAACTAGAGATCTTTAATTGCTCAAACTTTCATGGTTTTACACTTAACGGGTTTTATTTTACTTTTCTTTATTTTTAAAAATCTGTTCGCAGTATCAAATCAAATGTTGAAGGGCTTCCGATTGGAAATGCCTCAAACTTTGAGCTGTGCAATATTTCCATTGTTTTTTGCCCATTTCATACTCTTTCCACTCTGGAGGAAAACTTGAAATTATTTGAAGAACGTATGGAAAATTCCTTCCCAAGTTCGGCGCCAGTCTGGAATCCCTAGGAATTCAATCACTTTCGCTTGGCAACCAAAGAATTTTCCTCTTTTTTCCAACTTTTTTCTACTCTTAGTTTTTCCCACACAAACTTTGAACTATTCATGGAATATTTTGTTT